GATTATTATCCGGAAATCATATAAATATTATATTGTGAAGACCATTCAAAGATGTGGCTGTATGAATTGTTTAGGTATGACACATGTAAAGAAATCCCAGGGCATAAGATAGAGGATGACAGGGGGGTTCTCACACTTGGTAAGAGAATCGACCTATTGTAAATGAGGGGAGGGTTCTTGAATTGCTATTTAAGTAGTTGGAGACTGGAGGTGTGAGTCTTGAGAACGCCAGTGGGAGGGGCGAAACGCGTTGACGCACTTCTGGTCCGTTGTTTGAACATCATATGTCACTTCCGGTGAGTGGAACGCACGCCGAGCGGTGCGTTCCAGTGGCCATTTTTGGGATCTGTCTGTCACACATACTGTCATCCTCTGCACAGCAAGTTGTGGGATTTCTGCAATTGATCCTGGATGGTATTTGACTGTGTTTTGCCAATGGAGGCTATATAATAAAAAGCCTTTTATGATTTTGTGAACCATGAGTGACTTGGCATTATTACGATAGCTGTAAGAGGAGGTCATTAGCAATATCACACTATACGCAATATTTTCTTCTTTGGCACAACGGTGGAGCAGTTTTGGAGAAAGGAGGTGGAAGAATCATCCTAGTCTGGTGTGGTGGGATGGAGGTCTGGAGGCTATAAGAGGGGTTGTAGGATCCCTAAAAGGCTTACTATTCGCCATTATCTGGTGAGTGCGATTAATGTTGGTTTTTTCACTGGTGGATGGTGGAAGCACTTATCACAGAAGGATAACCACAATACATATTTATTCGTGTTTGGTGAAGCACTCTGAAGTTGGAGAAAAGCTTTTTATATGTTTTTTATATATATATATTTATTATATATTTTTTATATATATATTTTTTTGGACACATTAATTTTGGACACTTTAAATCAAAATATGAGTTTTCCCTTTATTCCTTTATTATGTGAAATTTGTTGGGTATTGTTTTACGCTGTTTATTTAATTTTCATGATTTGGTGTTTACACTAGTGCACAGCAGCATTTCAAATTTTAGGGGTGGGGATTGTTCTGTGGCGCAGGAGTATATATTTATATATAGCTATAAGAGATTTGCAAAAGATTTCATGCTCCTGTATGTGGCTAGGCTGACAAAAAGTCTCTAACATGTGGTATCCCCATTCTCGGTAGAAGTAGCAGAATGTATTTTGGGGTGTAATTCACATATACCCATGGCATGTGTGAGCAATATATCATTTAACTGCTTCTGCACCACCCTATAGCAGAAATACTCCACCATATAGCAGAAATACACACGTATATACACGCGTAATCTTGCAGTTCCGGGTAGGTGGCACATGTACGCCCTACCCTCGCTGTCATTCGCGGCCTCGGCTGTCAATCACTGGGTCCCGACCGGTGATTCCCCGCCAGCCCCCGTCAATCTCTGAGTATTTCCAACGGGGGAGAGATCTGTATGTAAACAAAACAGATCTACCCCTGTCAATTCCTGTATAGCAGAGCCATACAAAGCAGTGTGCTTACAGTTTAAAACACACACAGCACACATAGTAAAACAGCACACAGTTAACCCTTTGATCACCCCACGTTAACCCCTTACTGCCCACTGCTTTTTATTAGCACCGATCACTGTATTGGTGTCACTGGGGATGGCAGTTCCCCACAGTGTCAGAATGCCCGCCGCAGTCCCGCTATAAGTTACTGATTGCCGCCATTACTAGTAGAATTTTTTTTTTTAATTCCAGTATATATACCACCAACGTTATAACTTTCACGTAAACCATTTTTTTTTTCAGCAATGACATGTAGCAGAATACATTTTGGCATAAATTTATGCCGAAATTAGAATTTTGAAAATTTTTTTATTGGATATGTTTAATAGCAAAAAGTCAAAAATATAGGTTTTTTTTTTCAAAATTGTTGGTCTTTTTTTATTTATAGTGCAAAGAATTTAAAAAAACACACAGGCGATCAAATACCTCCGAAAGAAAGCTCAATTCGTGAGGAAAAAAAGGACGTAAATTTAATTTGGGTGCTGTGTTGCATGACAGTGCAATTGTCAGTTAAATTAATGCAGCGCCATAATGCAATCCGCTTCTTTAACTGCTTCCTGACTGCCCTATAGCAGAAATACTGCTACAGGGCGGCACAGGTGTGCAAAATCACATATATATTTGATTCGTGCTCCCATGGTGTTCACGCCCCTCCCAGATAGCTTCAAATTGCCCATCAGTACACCAGTAGTCACATTTAACCCCTTGATTGCCAGAAACACGCTCATACACAATAACCTCTATTGCTAGTATAGTGTCTGAACGGATTAATATCTTTGATTAGATCAGCACTATACCAGCGTTCACATTAGTATAGTGTCCCCAAAACACAGCATTAGCGGGATCTTCCCCGGCACCTGCCAGCACCTGCGTTTAGCCCCTACGCTTAAACCCCCTTCTCCCCCAGCAAGTGCAGTATCAGTAGGTCACTGTCACTTGATACATTGCACACAAAACCACAGTGTTTGCAGGATCAGGCCTGATTCTAGCACTTGCTGGTAAATGTTGATGGCTCTCATATGCATTAGAGTGCCAGTAGTAGTGCCTCTCTACATTTTGGTGAACTGGCAAGCACCAGCAGCCTAGTACATCCTGGTCTTTCACATACCAGCAGTGCAGTATTACTTGGTGACATGGCGAGTCCCATAAGTGCAGTACAAGCTGGTGCAGTGGCGAGCACAAGTATTGTCCCGCAACCACCAAGAATTCACATACAGGCCCGTAGAGCCCCCAGTATCCTTCCGGATGTGCTTGCAAATCCAGATTGGCAGCCCACAAATTCTGCAGCACTTGTACTTCCTCCATTCACTGCCCAACCTGGAATTCAGGTGGAAACAGCAAATTTAACTACCCCCCTTGATTTTTTTGGAGCTGTTTTTCACGGAAGATCTGTATGCATTGATTGTGGATCAAAGAAATTTATATGCACAACAATTTATCACCGCCAACCCAAATTTAAACCTTGCCAGACCATTCGCATGGAAACCTATTACGGTTTCCAAATTTAAATTTTTTGGGGGCCTAACCCTCAACATGGGCATTACTAAAAGCAATTAATTGCGGTTGTATTGGTCCACAGACCCGATTCATCATATGCCCATGTTATCTGCTGCCATGGCCAGGCATAGATATGAGAGTGTAATGTGTTTTATGCATTTCAATCACAATTGTCCTCAGGGTGACCCTGAATTTGACCGACTCCACAAAATTCGTTCCCTCGTAAATCACCTTACCCAAAAATTTGTAGATGTCTATACTCCCCAGCAAAAAAATCTGCGTTGAGAAGTCCCTCTTTAATTTTTCTGGCCGTCTTGCATTCAAACAATTTCTCCCCAGCAAGCATGCCAGATATGGGGTCAAGATGTATAAGACCTGTGAGAGGGCAGCAGGCTATACACTTAAGTTTCGGATTTATGAGGGAAAAGATAGTCACATGGAGCCCCCCGGATGCCCAGACTACATGGGGAGTAGTGGCAAAATAGTTTGGGACTTGGTGTTATCCTTTTTACCATATGGGGTACCACTTATACGTGGATAATTTTTATTCAAGCATACCACTATTTAGACATTTGTACAATCTTGGAACTGGCTCATGTGGCACCGTGCGACCTAATGTGTGCCCACCATTAGAAGTGGGTGGATGCCAGCAGTATATTCTAATGGTGGGCATACCACACATTTGTTCTGGCAGAGATTTCTTCTTTTTTTTCATTCAGCCCACAGGCTGCATACAAAAAAAAAAAAAGAACATAGCATATATACCCAACAAGAACCAGCGACACACTGGTACATCACTGGAATTTGAATGGTTATACCAGGATGATGCCTACAGCTGCAGGCATCATCCTGGTATAGTTTTTTTTCAGCCGGTGATCAGCTTTCATGTAAAAGCAATCCTAGTGGCTATTTAGCTGCATGATTGCTTTTACAAGCAGCGGGAGACAATGCCCTCCCCCGCTGTCTTCCACGCCCTTCTCGGGCAGTCCCGTGCCATCGGGGGAACCTGAGAATCCAGCCGATGTTTCTTCCAGCTGACCATAGAGCTGATTGGAGACCGGAATGGTGCCAATCATCTCTATAGTCTAAGAAATCAGAAGCTACGAGCATTTCCTGTCAAGGTCCTACCTTTTCCCAGAGGTTATGCTGCTCCATGTGCTGGCATCCATCTTGGATTTCTGCAGAGCATGGTGGGAGTCTTTTATGCCTTCAGGCCTCTGCGGTCCATCCCCCAGAGGGGTGTGGTTGATCACATATAAGCCTGTTGTCCGCACGTGCTCTTTGCATTCGTGTCTTGTATGTTCGTGTTGCAACAAGCTCTGTTTCTATTCTCGTGGCTCTCCTGGAAACTGACTCGGCTTTTGACTAGACTATTCTCTGCGTTATCCATTTATCTGACCTCCCATTGCTGAACCTGGCTTGTGACCTGTTATTCTTGTCTACCGTTCTGTACTGTCTGTCCCGTTGTTATTGACCCGGCCTGCCCGACTACGCTATTGTCTTATGTGGTTCCTACCAGCTATACGCCATTGGCGGCGGCCATTACCGCAGGGGTGTCTCGGGGGCCGCGACCTGGTCCCTGGCTGCGTCAAGTCCATCCCCACCATCAGGGGCCCTGGTGAAGGGCAGCCTGGAACTTAGACTCCGCGCACTGAGGGACTCCGGTCTGTGGGTGGTGGTTGTCGTCAGTCGGTGCGTGACCCTGCCATTAGGCCTGCCTGTCCGTTCCACAGCTCCTGCCCTGACATTACACAAATTCCATGAATCCTGATGATGCAGGTACGCCTTCGCTTCCCATGTTAGTCGCCAGACTTGATTAACAGGATCTCCTGTTGGATCAGTTCGCTCAGGCGTTGTAGACGCTGCTTGCACGCACCGCGCACCTTACTCCTGGTGCTATTAGGCCGGTTGTCACTCCGGTGGTCGCTCCCGCTGCTGCTCCGGTTGTTGTGTCTACCGTGGTGCCCAGATGTATGACTGGTTCAGCCCCTCTTCCACAGCGCTTTGGGGGTGAGCCGAGTCAGTGTCATGGGTTCCTCAACCAGGTGGGCATTTATTTCGAGTTAATACCCCACGCTTTTCCGACTGAGAGGTCAAAGGTCGTGTCAAGGTCCTACCTTTTCCCTGAGGTTTTGTTACTCCATGTGCTGGCGTCCATCTTGGATTCTGCTGTGCATGGTGGGAATCCTTTTATGCCTTCAGGTCTCTGAGGTCCATCCCCCAGAGGGGTGTGGCTGATGACATATAAGCCTGTGGCCCGCACATGCTCTTTGCACTTGTGTCTTTGTCTTCCTACAGCTCTGTGTATACGCTCGTGACTCTTCTGGTATCTGACTCGGCTTGTGATTAAGACCATTCTCTGTGTTTTCCTTCGATCTGACCTTCCGTTGCTGAACCCGGCCCGTGACCTGTGATTCTCTGTCTACTGTTCAGTACCGTTTAGTCCCGTTGTTGTCGACCCAGCTTGCCTGACTACGCTATTGTCATTCTCACCAGCTACACGCCATTGGCGGTGGCCATTACCCAGCCGGGGTGTCTCGGGGGCCGCGACCTGGTTCCTGGCTACATGAAGTCCATCCCCACCATCAGGGGCCCTGGTGAAGGGCAGCCTGGGACTTAGACTCCGCGCCCTGAGGGACTTCGGTCTGTTGGTGGTGGTTGTCGTCAGCCAGTGCGTTACCCTGCCACTAGGCCTACCTGTCCATTCCACAGCCCCGCCCTGACAGGTGGGTTTCCTAATCTCGCTGCTCTCAGACAAGGCCTTGGCCTGGGCGAATCCCTTATGGGAAAGGAATGACCCGGTGATTCACGAGTTTTCTGGTTTTGTCGACGCCTTCCATAGGGTATTCAACGTGCCGGCTCACTCCGCCTCGGCTGCCAAGCTGCTCAAGTCCATGCATCAGGGTTCACGGACCGTTGCCGAGTACGCCGTAGAGTTTCGTACCCTGGCGGCAGAGGTGGCTGGAACAATGAGGCTCTGGTGGCTGCTTTTTCTCATGGTCTTTCAGATGCGTTGAAGGACGAGATTGCAGCCAAGGAACTGCCTGTGGAGCTGAAAGCACTCATTTCCTTCCTAATCCTGATTGACACCAGGCTCAAGGAGAGGCCTTCACTCAAGGAACGCCTGCGGAGGCCTCCCAACCGACTGGCGCCTACGTTTTTTGTCCCACCCATTCCTCCCTCTCCTCCCACGCCTCCTGGGGATGGCTTGTCTGGTGGTGAGCCCATGCAGCTGGGATTTGCTCGCCTTTCCGAGGGGGGGAGCGGGCCGCTCGGCGTCGGGAGGGTCGCTGCCTGTACTGTGTCCTTGGTGGGCACTTTCGGCAGTCCTGACCGGTCCGTCCGGGAAACGCTCGCACCTGAGATCCTGTCGGGGACAGATCTTGAGTGGAGTCTCCTCGTCCCCGGCGTTCTGCAAAGATAAACCACTGATCACCGTTGTCCTCTCTTGGGCGGAGGGCTCGGTGACAGCCCAAGCGTTGGTAGACTCTAGGGCCGGGCGGGTTGTTTGTGGACAGCTCGTTTGCCGCGCCCAGCACTCCATTCCCCTGCAGGCTCGAGTTACCCCATTGGTTCTCGAGGCGATAGATGGCAGGCCCCTGCAACCGCCGCAGGTTACCCACGAGACTCTGCCAGTTGAAGTAGCTATTGGGGCTGTTCACAGGGAGTTGGCCTGTTTTCAGGTAATTTCTTCCCCGCACTATTCTGTGGTTTTGGGGTATCCCTGGCTCCAGAAGCACAATCCAACCTTTAATTGGCGAATGGCCGAGATACTGTCGTGGTCTCCACAGTTTGGGGCCGGGTGCATCCGTGGGCCGGTTCGGACTCTGCGTTGCCCACCGACTATGGGGAGTACCTGGAAATGTTTGACAAGGTGCGCGCTGGTGCCTTACCTCCCCATCATTCTTACGACTGCGCCATACCCTTGCAACCCGGTGCCACTCCTCCGCGTGGCAGGGTGTATCCTCTTTCGGTTGCGGAGAATCAGGCCATGGAGGAGTACGTTGCGGATGCACTTTCCCGGGGGCACATTCGTAAGTCTACTTCCCCAGCAGGAGCGGGCTTTTTCTTTGTAAAGAAGAAGGGCGGTGAATTGAGGCCTTGCATCGATTATAGGGGTCTCAATCGAATCACCATCAAGAATGCCTACCCTATCCCGTTGATTACCGAGTTGTTCGACCGCCTCAAGGGAGCAACGGTCTTTACCAAACTCGACCTTAGGGCGATGTACAACCTCGTACGGATCAAGCAGGGGGACAAGTGGAAGACCGCGTTTAACACCAGAACCGGTCACTATGAATCCCTGGTGATGCCCTTCGGGTTGTGTAACGCGCCCGTGGTCTTTCAGGAGTTCATAAATTATGTCTTTCGTGACTTGTTGCAGCAGTGCGTTGTGGTTTACTTGGTTGACATCCTGGTTTACTCTGCCTCCATGGAGTCCAATATCCAGGATGTCAAGCGGGTGCTGCAACGGTTACGTGAGAACAAACTTTTTTGTAAGCTCCAGAAGTGTCAATTCCACCGGTCCCAGGTTGCCTTTTTGGGCTACATCATTTCTGCGGTGGGATTCTCCATGGACCCTCAGAAGGTTGCGGCGGTTCTGCAATGGCCTTGTCCCAATGGTCTTCGGCCCATTCAGGGCTTTTTGGGTTTCGCCAACTATTATCTGAAGTTTATCAGGAACTTCTCCACGCTGGTAAAGCCTCTCTCAGACCTAACCAAGAAGGGCAGTAATCCTCACGAGTGGCCATCCGAGGCCATCGTAGCTTTCAAGGCTCTGAAATCCACCTTTGCTTCTGCTCCGATACTGTCTCATCCCAATCCTGGGTTGCCCTTCGTCCTCGAGGTTGATGCATCCGAGACGGGAGTAGGCGCTCTCCTGTCTCAGCATCAATCGCCCGATGGACCCCTACTTCCCTGTGGGTTCTACTCCAGGAAGCTTTCCTCTGCAGAATGCAACTACCAGATTGGAGATAGGGAGTTGTTGGCCATCATTCTGGCTCTCAAGGAATGGAGGCACCTGCTCAAGGGCTCCGCGGTTCCGGTTCTCATTCTTACTGATCACAAGAACCGGACGTATCTTTCGGAGGCCAAGAGATTGACGCCCTGTCAGGCCAGATTGGCCTTGTTCTTGTCATGTTTCAACTATGTGGTTTCCTATTTGCCTGGTTCCAAGAATGTCAGGGCTGATGCATTGTCGCGGCAATACTCTGAGTTGTCCAGGGAGGACTCTGAGCCAACCTCGGTCATACCTCCGGATCAGATCCTGGCTGCCATTCGCACCAGTCTGACTTCTCCCCTTGGGGAGCAGATTTTGGCGGCTCAAACGGACGCTCCCCCCAAGAGACCGGATGGTAGATGTTTCGTACCTGAGGGATTGCGCACCCGCCTGCTGCATACCTACCATAACTCCAAGACTGCCGGGCATCCGGGGAGGAACCAGTTGTGCTGGGTCGTCTCTCGTTTATTCTGGTGGCCAACTCTTCATGCCGACATCGCCTCTTAGGTAGAGGTATGTTCGGTCTGTGCCCAGAATAAATCTCCCGGCATCTTCCATTGGGCCTTCTGCAACACGTTCCCAATGGGCAGCGTCCTTGGTCACACCTGGGCATGGATTTTATTGTAGACCTCCTGTGTCTCGGGGTCATACGGTCATTCTCATGGTTGTCGATCGTTTTTCCAAAATGTGCCATTGTGTTCCGCTTAAGAGATTACCAACGGCGCAAGAACTGGCCACGGTTTTTGCCAGGGAGATTTTTTGCCTGCATGGGATGCCCAGGGTGATTGTCTTGGACCGCGGGAGTCAGTTTGTGTCCAGGTTCTGGCACGCCTTCTGCTCCCAGTTGGGTATCAGGCTCTCCTTCTCTTCGGCCTACCACCCGCAGTCCAATGGGGCTGCGGAGCGTTCCAACCAGGCCCTGGAACAATTCCTTCGCTGCTATATCTCGGACCATCATGACGATTGGGCCGATCTCCTGCCATGGGCGGAGTTTGCCAGGAACCCGGCTGTCAACTCCTCCTCCAGGATGTCTCCCTTCATGGCCAACTATGGGTTCCAACCTACGGTATTACCTGAGAGGTTCTCACCACAGGACATTCCGGCTGTGGAGAACCATCTTGCTGCCCTGTGTTCTTCATGGGGGCAGATCCAGAAGTCCTTGAAGGACTCAGCACAGCGCCAGAACTTCCAGGCTGATCGCAGACGACTGCCCGCTCCTTAATACCAGGTCGGAGATCGGGTGTGGTTGTCTACTCGCAACCTCAATCTTTGGGTGCCCGCACCCAAACTGGCCCCCCGTTTTGTTGGCCCTTTTTTACACATCCTCCGCAAGGTGAATCCGGTTGCCTATGCCCTTGCCCTTCCTCCTGGGATGCGTATCTCCAATGTCTTCCATGTATCCCTGTTGAAGCCTCTGGTCTGCAATCGCTTCACTACCTCTCCACCTCGGGTCCGTCCCATCCGGGTTGACGGTCATGAGGAGTATGAGGTGAGCCTGATCCTGGACTCTCGATTGGTGCGCGGTCGGGTGCAGTTCCTGGTTCACTGGTGTGGTTATGGTCCCGAGGAGCGTTCCTGGGTTCCTTCCACGGATGTTCATGCTCCTGCCCTCCTCCGTGCTTTTCATGCCCGCTTTCCTCAGAAGCCTTTTGTTGAGCCGCGGAGGGGGGGGGGCCTTGAGGAGGAGGTACTGTCAAGGTCCTACCTTTTCCCAGAGGTTATGCTGCTCCATGTGCTGGCATCCATCTTGGGTTTCTGCAGAGCATGGTGGGAGTATTTTATGCCTTCAGGCCTCTGTGGTCCATCCCCCAGAGGGGTGTGGTTGATCACATATAAGCCTGTTGTCCGCACGTGCTCTTTGCATTTGTGTCTTGTATGTTTGTGCTGCAACAAGCTCTGTTTCTACTCTCGTGGCTCTCCTGGAAATTGACTCGGCTTTTGACTAGACTATTCTCTGCGTTATCCATTTATCTGACCTCCCATTGCTGAACCCGGCTTGTGACCTGTTATTCTTGTCTACTGTTCTGTACTGTGTGTCCCGTTGTTATCAACCCGGCCTGCCCGACTACGCTATTGTCTTATCTGGTTCCTACCAGCTATACGCCATTGGCGGCGGCCATTACTGCAGCTGGGGTGTCTCGGGGGCCTGGTCCCTGGCTGCGTCAAGTCCATCCCCACCATCAGGGGCCCTGGTGAAGGGCAGCCTGGGACTTAGACTCCGTGCCCTGAGGGACTCCGGTCTGTGGGTGGTGGTTGTCGTCAGTCGGTGCGTGACCCTGCCATTAGGCCTGCCTGTCCGTTCCACAGCTCCTGCCCTGACATTTCCCAACTTCAATTTCGCATGATATAAACAGCACCATTTGTAAATTGGGAAAGCATCTGATCACACTGATCTTGGTGAGATTAGATAATGTAAGGGCAGTTTTTGGAGATTTCTCACAAAAGAACATATGACAATGCCCATTGAAGTTATAGGGGATATTTGCATTCCCTGTGATAGCATTAAAAATGATTAAAAAAATGAAAGGGGCAGTGTAAAAATAATATATACAAAATCAAAATAACTTAAAAAAGTTATTGTGTCGGTATGTAAACAGCGGTTGCACCATGCATGTGAGGTATTGCCGTGAACATCAGATCAAGGACAGTAACTCTAACACTAGACTTTCTCTGTAAATCTAAAATGTTAGCATGTAAAGGCTTTTAAAGCGTTGCCTATGGATATTAAAAATGTATGCAGTTTGTCGCCATTGCACGGGGCATGCACAGTTTAAAAAACATGTCATGTTTGGTATCTATTTGCTCCGTACACCATCATCTTTTATAGTTTACCAAATAATTGGCCAATATATTGTGTTTTTGTGCATTAAAAAGGTAAAAAAAGTGTATTATGTGACATAAAAAATTGCAGCACCTATCGTTTTATTCACTAGGGTGTCTGGTTTAAAAAAATACAAAATGTTTGGAGGTTCAAAGTAATTTCCTAGCAAA